CGACCATCCACTCCATCCATCTACCTACCCCTACTTACCTGTGCCTAACTGCATACCCATCTAATTTTATCCTCACAACAGGCTTGGGAAGAAATTCCTCATGCTTATTTTGTTGGTGAGAAAACTAAGACTAAAGCAAGAATATATCTTGCCCAGGTTGCAAAGGCATTAAGTGGAAAACAGGCACCAGCATGGTAGAGAAGAACAACATGGGCCAGCCTGACCCGGCTTTGAACCACAAGTCTACCACTACCAGCTATGGGATTCCAGACATGTTACTCTTTGATCCTTAGATTTCCTTTTTGTGAAACACACAGGGTCTACTGGCTTCAAACTCAACTTTCCAATACTAGTGACGAAGTCTCAGAATTCCATGCAACCGTAAGGCTATAAAGATGGTGACTTCAAATAAAATGGCTGTAGCTGAGTGGGACCACAAGATGTGTTGCCTGAGAAGGGAAGTGTCCTTAGACCTTGACTTGAGAGTCTGACACTATGAGCTCCATCAAGGGCTGCAGTTGAAGATGGCTTATGTGCTGACCAAGGCTTTAATGATTCAAGCAAATACCATGAGAAGGGTGTCCTAAACATGGATGGGGTGTGTGTGTGTGTGTGTGTGTGTGTGTGTGTGTTTTATGTTTAGTAGAATGGGGATGATCACATCATGAGAAATTGCTGATGAACTCAGATGAATATCAGCATGTAAATCCTGGCCCAACCAGTTGACTCTCTCCTCTCTCTCTTCTCTCTCTCTCTCTCTCTCTCTCTGGTCTTCTGAGAAGTCAACAAAGGAATTGAGAGCTTTAAAGCTTTCCTTCCCTATAGAAGCAACAAGATAGTTCACAGGCAGGTTTGGAACTTCCTGACCCAACTCTAATCTTTCAACATTCCACACTTAACTCGAACTTCGTGAAGTTCTGAACTGTACAAGTTGAGTTTTTACAACTTCATCACGTTGTTAACTTTACAGCTCCAATGGAGCTGGGCAATCTCGTATTTCAGTTCTGCCGCCTGAAGTTCATAGAACTTATCACAAAAGGATTAGTTAGTGGCAACTCTTCTGGACGTTATGGGTGGTGGCGAGAGAGGTCTTGGAATTTTAATCTTATGATTAAGATTTTGGGATTTTGGGATTTTTGGGGGATTTGGGAGCATTATTATTTTCTTGAAATGTCTTCCAAATGAGAACCAAATCAATCAAAGCATTTTACATTTAGCATCGGTACAGGGTTTCACAACGGAGGAAAAGAGTCGCTGATTTTACAGTGATTTCCAATTTTACAAAATGTGCAAGGAATGCTTATGCTACATTTGGTAAAATCCCATGTTCCTTTGGTGACTTTTCTTTCTGTGAGTGTCTTTTCCAATGTATTTCCAAATGGTGTTGTCAATGGCCGAGATTTCTGCCAGTTTGCTTCAAACCGAAGCCAAAGGGGCCCTACAATTGCTGTTGGTCCTGCTCCTTCGGACTAGCCAGGTATACTGGCAACATGTGCTGTGGGTCGCCCTGTACGCAGGTAGCATATTTTCATCCCGGGTCTAACCGTTCAGTCATTTTTTGTTCCCCTCCACCCCCTGGGAACCCAGTGACACATGTACCTTTACCCTGTTTCCAAATCTCTAAGAAGCATTCGTGAAGTAAGAATAGAAGCCTTAGTTCCTCTTGAAGAAACAACAGGAACTATTTTCAACAACAGGAACGCTGAACGATAAGGATCGTTAGGCCAAACCAAGAAGGGCCTCTGTCCGGAGACCCATGTTATAAAGAGCCTCGCCTTGGCTTTCCTGTGGCTGTGGCCCTCTCTGCGGTGTAGGGAAATCATTGGGCCAAGTAGAGGTGTTCTCTTGGTGGCTATCTGTCCCTCCCACCCCTCAGACCATACTTGTGTTATCTAAGACCTTGGAACTCCCTATGTAAAGGCCTTGAGTTCCCTTCGTGCAGATTTCTTCTCCAAGTGCACTCTTCAGAAGAAAAAAGGGAGAGCCAACGAGGGGCAGAGGTTTGCCAAGGCTGGACACAACCTGAACGTTGGCGTGAGTTGTTCAGAGGTATTCACAGCATGGGATCGGGAGTGATGCCTAAGAGAAGTGGTCTGGGGCTGGATGCTGGGTCAGGGGCTGGCTAGGTCTATGTCATTATCTTCTCGCACAGATCCACGGGGAGCCTGAGAATCTTACATTTAAACATAGCCTTCCAAGTTGTTATCAAGGCATATTTATCAACCCAGCTGGACGGAATAGATTTTACTTAGAGTTCGACTCATAACTTTTGAAATGTTAAGACATAGGGTACCTTAGGCTCCGCAAATATTAGGGGCTGAGCTGAGAAGCATATGCTTTATGGAAATAAAACCATGGGTTCCAAAGAAAGAACCTAACTTAAGACAGGCTTCATGTGAGGCTACCTTCATCGTCTAAGAGGAAACCTTGGCATCAGTTTATTACCTGAGGGGAGATATTTCTTAATTTTAATTCTACCACCCCTCTTTTGCAGAAATTATTTTAATTTTTTTCTTTGATGTTTATTTTTGAGAGAGAGAGAATGAGAGAGACAGAAGGAGGGAGAGAGGGAGGGAGGGGAAGGGGGAAGGGCAGAGAGAGGCAGACACAGAAAAGGAAGCAGGCTCCAGGTTCTGAGCTGTCAGCACAGAGCCCGATATGGGGCTCGAACTCACAAATCGCAAGACCATGACCCGAGCCAAAGTCGGACGCTTAAGTGACTAAGCTACCCAGATGCCCACTTTTGCAGAAATTATTAACCGGACAGACAGTGGAGGCTGGCTGGGGCATGCAAACATGTCCTCTTTGTGCCAAGTAGCCTGAGTCAGGTTTGAAGTGCTTCTAGTATCAAAACATCTGGCCTACACACTTGGAGAAAATCGTATTTACGGAAGTGTATTTTATACAGTGATGGTGAAAAGTCGAAAACGACTCCTGTGAATTGAGGCACTTGTGATCTCAAACGAGAGCCGTTTCTTTATGGAAGGACCAGTAAGCACCCTCGTCGCCTGTTTGTGAGCAAAACTACCAGAAAGACAATGGCAAGGCCAGAGCCACCTGGACAGGGCAGGGGATAAGAGTGTCGAGGTGGCCAGCAGAGGGAGCTGTCATGCCTAATCTGTGCCGCAGGATCTCCCACGCCTTGCTGGCCCTGTGGTCGGTTGGGGATCTCAGGCTCACTCTTTTCCTAAGCAAAATAGCCCAGGGGTGGACTTTGCTGAAGAGAACAGGGTGCCGAGATTTCTTTCCTGATGTGTCCAATGACCATTTTAGTTCTTGAAGTACATGAAGAATTCTTGAACTATTTTATCTTCTTTTCCCACTTCTGAACGCTTTAGGGGAACTAATCTCTAGTTGAAAGCACTTATGAATGCCTGGCTTGGTACAGAGGGTCTCTGAAATGTTGACAGACACATCTTAGGGAGAAGGAGCACTTCTTGGTCTAGAAGTTTTTTTCTCCTGATAAAAGAATCCAGTAGGTAAATCATGAAATCGAGTGAGAAGTTCTACACATTGGCAATCTGTCTTTCCATCATTCTTTTGTACTTCCTTTTTTTTTTTTTTTTTTTTTTTTAATGTTTCTTTATTTCGAGAGACAGAGAGAGTGAGGGCAGGGGACGGGCAGAGAGAGCAGTGGGGAGGGAATCCCAAGCACTTTCCGGGCTCTATCTCACAAACCATGAGATCATGACTTGAGCCTAAACCAAGAGTCAGACGCTCAACTGACTGCACCACCCAAGAGCCCCTACACCTCCTTTCTTGAATGTCTTTTGAGCACCTATTAGAAGCCTGTGTTTCGACCACAGTTATAAGCGAAAGTCTATTCTTCGAAGAGCCTAAGAGATGGGGTTACAGCCCAGAGCAAGCAGGAAGGAAATCAAGTCCAGGTTGCTAAAGAGCAGGAGTCCCAAAGGAAAGGGCTGTGGCCCTGGGCGGCTGAGTCAACAGGTGCTTTTCGCACACTCAGAGAAAGAAAGGAACAGAACGACAAACC